TCTCTCTCAATCTTTTTTCCCCTTTTCTTTGGCAGACATTTTTACTTGTCTTGGAGGAGTAGGCGAAGAGCTGTTTTTAGGACTCTTTGAAAGGGTACAGTATGCATGACAGTCTTGGCTAATGGTAACCAGATCCAGGGAGCCGGGGTCAGTGTGAGCTGGAATCAGTTCAAATTAGCAAAGCACTGGTACTCAGTGGCAGGAATACAAGTGACCGCAAATTGTTCAACACATCTGGAAAGAGATACTGACATCATCCTCAGAATCTGTGGGGAATACACATAGCCCGTAAGACACATTCCTCTTTGACCCTATAAAGATTCTTTGAAGAATAATACCCTTAGCAATTTTCTAGCCAGCTTGCCTGCTTATTTATCTTTGAGGACAACATGCCTCGTGGAGCTCCACAGGCCCCAGAGGATTCTGCATTTGAAAGTGCTGAAGCTGAGAAACTCGGTCTTGGTGGACCCCAAGAGGTCTGCTTTTCCTCTACTCATTGTTCCTTTTTTTCCCCCGCAACTGGCATTGCTGTTTAAATGGGTTGTTCTTTGCCATTTAAGTTGTTTGGTAGTGGTATGTCAGGATTTGGGTTTTCTGAATATTTTCCCAGCTGGTGACATGAGTGGTGGTTAGGGAGGAGCTGTTTTAGGGCTGTTCTGGAGCTGTTGAGTTAGGTGTATGGATACTCACAGCTCGTCTGTTGAGGAGAATGCTGTTCTCATTGTGCTGCCTTTGGTGACGCTGTGTGTGGCCCTTTAGATGTGGGTGGAGGTGAGTTGGGGCACTTAATGAGATCTGTTTTAGGTGCTTTTGATAAAGTAGCCTGCACTACAGGATTCACTGTGACTTTTTTCCTTAACCTGCGTGTATTTCTCTGCTAGCCTTTGCTGTCTTTCTTATGCCTTTGATTTTCCCAGCACCTCTTGGTTGAATTTACATAAGTGCTCTGCTGTGGTTTAAGTGTGTCCCCCAAAGTTTATGTGCTGGAAACTCAATCCTCAATGCAACAGTTGGGATGTGGGGCCTAATAAGAGAGCCCTCATGAATGAGTTAATGTTGTTATTATGGTAATAGATAAGTAATCACAGAGTGGTCTTATTATAAAAGAGAGTTCAGCCCCCTTTGCCCTCTTGCTGTCTTGCACTCTCTTGTCCTTCTGCCTTCTGTCATGGGATGATGCAGCCAGAAGATCCCTACTAGATGCAGGCCCCTCAACCTTAGATTTCATAGCATCCAGAACTATAAGAAATAAAATTTCTTCCTTTCCCCTTTTCCTTTCCTTTCTGTTCCATTCTGTTCCGTTCCATTCCATTCCTTTCCGTTCCCTTCGCTTCCCTTCCCTTCCCTTCCCTTCCCTGTTCTTCCATTCTCTTCCCTTCCCCTCCCTTCCTCTCTCTCCCCCTCCCTCCTTCCTTCCCTTCCTCCTTCCCTCTTTCCCTTCCCTCTCTTCCTTCCCTTCCCTTCTTTCCCTTCCTCCCCTTCCCCTCCCTCCCTCCCTCCCTCCCTCCCTTCCTTCCTTCCTTCCTTCCTTCCTTCCTTCCTTCCTTCCTTCCTTCCTTCTTTCTCGTAAATTATGCAGTCTGTGGCATTCTTTTATAGCAGCATGAAATGGACAAAGACCAACTCCATTTTCAAGAGCAAGCCCTTTTGAAGTTTCTGAGCGAATTATGACTACAAAGGAAGTTCTGTAGGTAGCCTCAGATCCACCACCTAGGAAGCATGCTACCAAGCAGTCCTAGTATCTAGGATTCAGTCAAGTGCTGGGCAACATGATACCTCTGCAATTTAGCACCTCCCTATGTACCTCCAGTTGGCTCAGCCCATCAGGGCCAAAACTACCCCTCATATCCTAGTGTCTCTTGTAGGCAGAAGCCTTGCCTAAACCTTAAGCTGCTTGGCTCACATTCTGTCTTGTGCTTTTTTTGTAGGGGGTTCAAACATACACAAAAGAAATAGGATGAACCTCCGTGTACCCAACCCTCCAATTAAGCAGTTACCTCCATTTTTCCAGATTTGTTTCATCTACTTTAATCTTCCTAAAAATTTATGTTTGTAAGGGAAAAACTGAATAAATAGCTAATTCTCCATGCTACCTCTCATTTTAAGTCACTTTTCAGAGTAGTAAGTTAGTGACCTAGTAACCTTCCCTCTAGTGACCAATAGTTTTTTTTTTCTGAATACCATCATGAACTCATAGATTATTGTTTGCATTTGATGTATTTCAGGTCATTGCAGTCTTTATTGTTTTGGATGCTTACATTGTCTCATCAAGGTTAATAATTATCTCTTCAAGTTGACTCTCCTGTCTTTTTGATGTGATCCTGTTGGACTTTGATGACTTCCTTGCTTTCTGGCAAAAAAGATGTTCCAGGATCAATATACTGTACCATACATGGAGTCAACCATTTCTCTAGGGGGCCTTGATTCCTTTTAGTAGAGAACACAGTTTGGGGTCTTGGACTGAATGACTTTTGTGAACCTCCTCTTCTGAGACTACAGCCTGCATCCCTGCATATAGCCCATTTGGAGCTCTCGCTGGGCACCAGCAGATCTCCTGAAACTGCTATATAGTTCTGCCTCACTCTTACAAAGATTCACCTCTTGAGAGTTTTGTGCTGTGTCCCCAGATATAGTCTTTCTGGTTCTGAAGCTTTTGTTTCAGTCCCCCTGAATTCCACCAGCCCTATGCATACCATACCTTGGATTGCTAACCCAACCCCAGTGGAGCCTCTTTGGTTAGAATAGTTGCCACACCCCGTGCCTAGTACTCTAGTAAACAAGGTTCTACCTGGGCTTAGGTTAACTTTTGCTCCTTTGGGCCCTGTGTTCTACCAGCATTTCATTTATCTGAAACTCCCCCCTCACCTCCAGACCTTATCTGTTCTTTAATGGTTTACTGCTGCTTCCTGGGTTCTCCAGAACCCAGTTCAGGAGTTTCTGTTTTAGTTTGAGATCTTACAGGCCTGTCTCATCAGGTTGATGTCAGCCCAGCTAGGATTAGGCAGAATTGGGTGGGGATTGTAGTGCATTTTTGGCCCAGCATGTACCTGTCTGACTAATTATCTGTCTTTTCTTTCCTGTTGCAATTCATGGGCCTTAGCATCTTCTGAATGGTGTTTAGTAGGTCATTCTGTTGATTTCCTGCTAGGGAGTAGCATACTCTGGCTCTGCACCATTGGCCAAGGGACTTAAGGATAGATGACAGGCTGCAGTTTTGTTAAATGGAACAATATGAAGAGATGGCATTTTGGCAGCAGGGCCTATTTGAATGGTTGGTCCTTTGTCCCTGTGTTGATATAGGCAGATCCTTGACGGGAATTTGGAATGATCCCAAATATTGTAGATCACTGGTACATCAAGTTATCCTCAAGGCTGTCTTTCTAACAGTCTTGAATGATATTTTGTGAATCTTTGGAGATTCTCTGTGTAGGGTTTAATCATTTAGTTTTTTTAGTCATGCTTGTTTAGTTTCTTTGCAAAGAAATAAGAAATCAAAGAGATGGCAGGCATTAGGGAAAAAAGCCAGGAGCCTTGTTTCCCCACCCTCTACTTAGGTTCTGGAACTGTACTCATAGGTGAGTAGTGAGGAGCTGGGCCCAAGCACATTAATCCTAGATGTAGCTCTGCTTTGCACTCGCTCCGGTACTTGTATCAAATTCACTTCAAGTCACCCAGAGTAATATGTAGAGCAGTCATTCAGGAGCGTGCTTATACTTCATTATATCAAATGGGAGATCCTGTAATTTATAGCCTATTATTTCTGGAGTCTGGAGATGGCTCTGCATAAGCTTTGCTGAAGCAGATTTTATTACATTAGAAGAGAACCTAGCTGGCTGCATCCTACACTGGAAGCTTTTAGATGCTAATAAGGAGGTCACAGAAGGTAAAGGTCACAGAATGACTCTGGAATCCATTCCCTGCCAAGAAAGAATAATGACGCTTTAGGTTGGCCTCTTTTCGTTTCCCTTTGATTTTGAGTAATAAATTATCTCCTCACTTCCCAGCTGAACAGTTTGGGAGTCTCTATTCCCTAGAAAGACTCTGGTCACATACCCATCAAGTTAAATTAGGTGATAGAATCTTTGAGCCTTAATGAATGTTGAAGGATTTCAAAGGGCTAATGGAAATTCTTCCACAAGAAGCAATTGCAACCTCCGCCTTCTGGGTTCAGCGATTTTCCTGCCTCAGCCTCCCCAGTAGCTGGGATTATAGGCGTCCACCACCACCTCCCAGCTAATTTTGTAGTTTAGTGGAGGCGGGGTTTCACCATGTTGGCCAGGTTTGACCTCAGATGATCCATCCACCTCGGCCTCTCAAAGTGCTGAATTACGCTCAGTTTTCATGTTCCCTGCATAGGTCAGGGTCTTAGGGAGTGATTCATTCTAGCAGAACTCCCTGGATTTTGAAACAGGTGTTCCATTATTGAGTGACAAAGGAGGCATATTTCTCCCCTGGTAACCTAAAGATTTGGGTTGTTTTTCCCAGGGACTCTGTTTTCACTGTGAGGGTTCTTGGAAACTAAGCAGAGGATGAGGAAAAGGCTGTGAACAAGCTTGCTTGTCTCTCCTGTCCTATAAGGCATACTTCTTCTGTAACCAAGAGAGACCCTTTTGATTAGTCAAAGCTGGGCAGACTGAGATGAGGGTGTGTGTGTGTGTGTGTTGAGACAGGGTCTCACTCTGTCACCCAGGCTGGAGTTCTGTGGTGAATCAGAGCTCCTGCAGCTTCTACTTCCTGGGCTCAAGCGATCCTCCCTATTTCAGCCTCAGAGTAGCGTGGAATATAGGAATGTTACCACCCAGCTCATTTCTAATGTTTTTTGTAGAGATGAGGTTCACTGTGTTGCCCAGGCTGGTCTTGGAGCTCCCTGGCCTCACGGGATCCTCCTGCCTTTGTCTCCCAGTGGCTGAGTATAGGTATGAGCCACCTCACCTGACCTGCAATGATTTTTCAACAATATACTTTCTCTTTACAGAGCCATAAGCTAAGATACCCTTGAGAACAAGTACTGTCCTGTGGTTTCATGGCCTTTCTTCATTTGTGGTTCTATTGCCAGTGGAATTTCAATGACATCTTATCAAGATGGATAAACCCAAGTTTCCCAGTGCTGGGAATAGAGAAATGGATGGACAAGTAAGAGTCCCCACTCAGCACCTATAGCCCAGGCATGGGGACCTCAACACACCTGAGCCTCAAGACATCACTCATTGTGAGTAGCTCTGAGATGACCCTTCTAGTTGGTAAATGCCTACTGGCAATAGTTTATATAACAGCAAGTTAAGGAATAAATGATCACCAAAGCGTTTTCTGTCCCCAGCTCCAGCATTAATTGGATTAGATAGTTATTTTCTGAAAAATTTTCCTATGTCGCAGTCCTGACCATATCTTCAAGTGAACAGAAAAAGGGTGCTCTATTAAAAAAGTGAGACAGCCTTCTGTGTCTCACTCTGTTGCCCGAAGACTGGACTGCAGTAGTACGTTATATGGCTCACTGCAACCACCTCAACCTCCTGGGTTCAAGCAGTCCTCCTGCCTCAACCTCACAGGTAGCTGGGACTACAGGTGCTTGTCACCACACCTCACTAATTTTCCTATTTTTAAAATATTTGGATTCCACAGGACCGACTTCAAAAAAATTAATTACACATGGATTTTAGTATACACACAGAAATACAGGTAGCTGGAACTAATCCCCCCATATACCAAGGACAAACATGGATTTTGGTATACACAGAAATGGGGTAGCTGGAACTAATCCCCCCATATACCAAGGGACAAATTGTATCTGTTTTTACAATTCTCCTGTAGGATACATTATGTTCCATGACAATGGTAATTTTTAATGACAATTTTTAATTGAGTGAAATTACCATAAAAATAATAATTTGCTGAGCTGTTACTAGGTGCCTATAAGTACCATAGATTTTTTAAATTCCCCATATCTCTTCCTTATTTCACTTAACCACTCTATCTTAAATTACTCATGCTTGCTTCAGTGGCACATGTACTTAAGTTGGAACAATAGAGAGTTTGGCATGGCCTCTGTGAAAGAATGACATGCAAATTTGTGAAGCATTCCATATTTTTTAAAAAATGAGAAAAAAATTACTCCCAGATTTTCACTGTGTTTGTGCATATCACCTTTTGTTTAGGTTGAATTATATCCAAAGATGATATTTCCGGAAGTGAGATTACTGTGAGTGACAGGGTATGCGCATTCTTATTACCCTTGATGTAAATTGCCAAGCTTTCAGGCATGGTGGCTGTCAGCCTATAATTCCAGCACTTTGGGAGGCTGAGGTGGGAGGATTGCTTGAGACCAGGAGTTGGAGAAGGCAGTATAATGAGTAACTGTCTGTATTATTTAAAAAAAATTTCCCAGCCTCCAGCCTGGGCAACAGAGCGAGACTCCATCTCAAAAAAAAAAAAAAAAAAAAAAAAATCCAAGCTTTATCCTGGAAGGTTTATATACAATTTAAATGCCACTGATAGTACAAGAAAATGGCCATTTCACTGCACTTTCACTGGCACAGATATCATAATTTAACAAGTTCCTTTCTGTGTGATAAATAAAAGACTTCATATTACTGTCACTTTTTTTTTTTTTTTTTTGAGACACAGTCTCGCTCTGTCGCCTAGGCTCTAGTGCAGTGGTATGATCTTGGTTCACTGCAACCTCTGCCTCCCAGGTTCAAGCATTTCTGCCTCAGCCTTCTGAGTAGCTGAGATTACAGGCATACACCACCACACCTGGCTAATTTTTGTATTTTTAGTAGAGATGGGGTTTCAATGTATTGATCAGGCTGGTCGCAAACTCCTGACCTCGTGATCTACCCGCCTCGGCCTCCCAAAGTGCTGGATTACAGGTGTGAGCCACGTACCCGGGCTATTTGTCACACATTTTATCTTTCCTTGTGTTAGCTTCTTAGCTTTATTTCTTTATTGTCCTTTTTTTTTTTCTTTTTTTGAGATGAAGTCTCACTCTGTCTCCCAGGCTTGAGTGTAGTGGCACAGTCTCAACTCACTGCAGTCTTGACCTCCTGGTCCCAGGTGATTCTTCTACCTCAGTAGTTGGGTTTATGGGCATATGCCACTATGCCTGGCCAATTTTTTTTTAATTTTTAGTAGAGATGAGGTCTTGCTTTGTTTCTTAGGCTGGTCTGGGACTCCTGGCCTCAAGCGATCCCCCCACCACCCCCTCCCAAAATACTAGTATTATAAGTGTGAGCCACCATGCCTGGGCTGTCCATGTCTTTTCCATTTATTTATGGAATTAATTTGTCTTTTACTAATGCGATGATCTGTTTAATCTTTTATTAAATTATAAAAATAGTAAATACTTTTAAATAAATAAGTGAAAAATTTCCTTCAGTCTTTAGACCCATAATATTATCTCAGGAAATAATTGCTATTGAGAAAATGGGCCATATCCGTCAAGATACATACATGGTAATTGAACATCACTTCACATTTTCATATTTCGTGGACATTTGTGCCAATACCTATTGATCTATCTTAATCCTTTTCATAGTTGCATAATATTTTGTTATGTAGATGTATCACAGTTTACTCATCAGCTGCTGTAGGCATTTAGGCTCCTTCTAATATTTCCTTTGAGGTCTTTATATAATTAAAAGTTAACCCCCTCAGCCAGGTGTGAGGTCACACCTGTGTGGTGTTACAGGCAGGTCACACCTGTAATCGCAGCACTTTGGAAAGTTGAGGTGGGAGAACTGCCTGAGTGTGGGAGATCACCACCAGCCTGGTCAACATAGCAACACTTTGTCTCTACTAAAAATTAAAAAAAATTGAGCTACACATTGCACTGCACACCTATAGTCCCAGGTACTGGGGAGGCTAAGACTGGAGGATCACTTGAGCCTAGAAGGTTGAGGCTGCAGTAAGCTATGATCACACCACTGCACTTTAGCTTTGGTAAGAGCAAGACTGTGTTTCTTAAATAAAATAAAAATTAGATGGGAATATTGCTCGAGCCCTGGAGGTTGAGGCTTCAGTTAACTGTGATTGCACCACTGCAGTCCAGCCTAGGCGATAGAGCAAGACCCTTTTACTAAAAATAAAATAAAATTAAAAGTAACCTTCTGTTATATTTCCTAGTAACACTTTCCCTCCTACGTTTCTGCTGGAAGCCCTTGCATTTTGTTTGTTTTTCACATACCATTTAAAACTTTTAAGTACTGATGTCTGTCTGTGTCATCCCTCTTTTTTCTTTTCTTGTTTTTTTTTTTTTTCAAGGAATGTATTTTTGTCACTCCAGCTGGATCTACCATGAAAGACTTCTGAATCCAGGAAGAGAGACTGACCGGGCAACATGTTATTCAGGTACAAAAAGACTTGGACTATAACTCAAAAATGATCAAATAATAGTGCATGCATCAAGTGCAATGGGAAGCTCTTCTGGAGGGTGAGAGAAGCTTCCAGTTAAGGTGACACTGAAGCCAGGTTCTGAAAGATGAGGAAGAGTTGTATGAGAGTGGGGAGGGAAGGAGGAGGTGGAGGGATGAGGAATGGGCTGGGATGGGATGGAGTGAGCTGCTCAGGCAAGGAAACCAGCACTGTACAGACCTGGACAATGAAGATGGCACATTTTTTTCAGGGAATGGTGAATTAAGTGTGGCAGGAATGCTTTGTAGAGACAGTATTTGGAGTTTTGCCCAAGACCTCATTACAGTTTCTAAGTTTTTGATGTTATCATGCCTCACTGTACTTGTCAAACAGTATGATGATTACAATAACATCGAGCATAGTATTTCATTAATTCTCACAAAAACAGGTAGGTGCCACAGTTTTCCCCATTTTATGCACGAAATGATGAAGACTTGGGGTTAATGAGTGATTTGCCCAAGCTCACCTGGATATTAAGACTGAGTCAAATGTTAGGTCTGGTCTGACTTTAATGCTTGCCTTGTTCATGAGCACCGTGCACTGTCTCTCCTATGCAGTTAAGCAGGTAGACAGGTAAGAGAAGAACTCATGTTTCTCTCTTTTCACACACTTCTAACCAAATGTGTGTGTGGAGTTTCTACACCAATTCTCCAACTCTCTGGATACCAACTGCGTATTCCACAATTCCGTTTTGACACTACCTGGGGTTAGTGCAGACCTCACAGGTTAGGGGCTCAGTCCCACGAGACTACCCTTACTTCAGATGCCAATTGCAAATCCTAGGTTGTCACCTGTATTTCGACCAACCAGTTAGAAATCAGGGTTTCCCATGACTCTGTTCTTGAGTTTAGTTATTTGCTAGAACAACTCACGGAACTTAGAAAAACAGGTTTTTCCTTTCCTTTCTTTCTTTTCTTTTTTTTTTTTTTAAAGACAGGGCCTTGTTCTCTTGTCCAGGCTGGCATGCAGTGGTGCAATCGTAGCTCATTGAAGCCTTAACCTCCAGGGCTTAAGTGATTCTCCTGCCTCAGCCTCTCAAGTAGCTGGAATTACAGGGTTCCCACCACCATATCAGGCTAATTTCTTTTATTTTTTGTATAGATAGGGTCTTGTTATGTTGCCCAAGCTGGTCTCAAATTCCTAGACTCAAGTGATTTCCCCCCACCTCTGCCTCCCAAAGTGCTAGGATTACAGGCATGAGCCACCTCATCTGGCCAGCTTATTTTCTGTTACTGGCTCAATGTAAAGGCTCCATCTCAGGAACAGCCAGTGAAAGAGGTGCACAGGGCAAGGTAAGTGGGGAGAGGCACAGAGCTTCCATGCCCTCTGTTGGGCACGCTACCCTCCCAGCACCTCCTTGTGTTCAGTGGACACAGAAGTTCTCCAAACCCTGTTGTTTGGGTTATTATGGAGGCATGATTGATTGACCATTGGTAGCTAAGTCAATCTCCAGTCCCTTTTGCCTCCTGGAGTTCGGCAGGTGAGGCTGAAAGTTCCAAGCCTCAACAAATGTGGTTGGGGCTGGGCGCAGTGGCTCATACCTGTAATCCTAGCACTTTGGGAGGCCGAGGCGTGCGGATCACTTGAGGTCAGGATTTTGAAACCAGCCTGACCAACATGGTGAAACCCCATCTCTACTAAAAATACAAAAATTAGCTGGGCGTTGTGGCACATCCCTATAATTCCAGCTACTCAGGAGGCCGAGGTAGGAGAATTGCTTGAACCTGGGGGGTGGAGGTTGCAGTGAGCTGAGATTGTGCCATTGCACTCCAGCCTGGACTACAAGAGCCAAACTCCGTTTAAAAAAAAAAAAAATGTGGTTGGTTCCTCTGGCAGCCAGCCCTCCTCCTGAAGCAGTCTGGGAGCTTACAGCCACTCTGTCCGCTCAACAGCATCCCACATGCATGCTTACCATGCTGCAGATCTGAAAGACCTTAGAGGCTCTTGTGTCAGGAAACTGGGACTAAGACTGAATATTAAAACAGAAAATGCTCCTATTACCTCCGTCACTAAGGACTTTATAAGAGCTTTAGAAGTTCTACGCCAGGAACCAGGGGCAGAGACCAAATGTATATTTCTTTTCTTATATTTGAGACAGAGTCTCGCTCTGCCACTGAGGCTGGAGTGCAGTGATGTGATCATAGCTCACTGCAGCTTTGACCTCCTAGGCTAAAGCAATCCTCCACCTCAGCGTCTCCAGTAGCTGGAACTACAGGCATGCATCACCATGTCCAGCTGATTTTAATTTTAATTTTATAAAGGCGGGGTCTTCCTATGTTCCCCAGGCTGGTCTCGAACTCTTGGCCTCAAGCGTTCCTTTCTCTTTGGCCTCCCAAAGTGTTGGGATTACAGATGGGAGCCCCCATGCCCACATCTCTACTAAAAATACAAAAATTAGCCGGGCGTTGGCACATCCCTATAATTCCACCTACTCAGGAGGCCGAGGTAGGAGAATTGCTTGAACCTGGGAGGCAGAGGTTGCAGTGAGCTGAGATTGTGCCATTGCACTCCAGCCTGGGCTACAAGAGCCAAACTCCGTTTAAAAGCAAATGGGTTGGTTCCTCTGGCAGCAGCCAGCCCTCCTGAAGCAGTCTGGGAGCTTGTAGCCACTGTGTCAGCTCAACAGCATCCTACAAGTGCATTCTTATCATGCTGTGATCTGAAAGACCTTAGAGGCCCTTGTGTCAGAAACCTGGGATCAAGACTAACATTAAAACAGGAAATGCTCCTGTTACTCGGGTCACTAAGGACTATAAGAGCTTTGTAGTTCTATGCCAGGAACCAGGGCAGAGACCAAATGTATATTTCTTTTCTTATACTTGAGATAGTCTCGCTCTGCCACTGAGGCTGGAGTGCAGGTGATGTGATCACAGCTCACTGCAGCCTTGACTCTCCTAGGCTAAAGCGATCCTCCACCTTAGCCTTCTCTAGTAGCTGGAATCACAGGCTAAATCACCATGTCCATCTGATTTTAATTTTAATTTTGTAAAGGCAGGGGGTCTTCTATGTTCTAGACTGGTCTCAAAACCTCTGGCCTCAAGTATTCCTTTCTTTGGCCTCCCAAAGTGTTGGGATTATGGCAGATGGGAGCCCCTATGCCCACCAATCACAAGGATCTTTAAGAGAAAGAAGGAGGAGAGAGCTGTGGAGTTAGAGAAGGAGATGTGGTATAAAGAAGAGGTCAGAGAGGGAGATTTGAAGATGCTGCACCTTCTGGCCTTGAATATGGAGTCAAAGCACCTCAAGACAGAGTCAAGGAATGTGGCTTTGTAGAAGCTGAAAAGACAACGGAGCACATTCTCTCTAGAGCCTCCAGAAGGAATGCAGCCCCTCTGACACCTGACTTTAGCCTTAATATATCTAGTTGGGCTTCTGGACCCCAGAACTGTAAGGTAGATTTGTAGTGTTTCTGCCAAATATAGGGTAGTTTGTTGTAGCAGCAAGAAAATGAACATGGTGTTGGGCTTTGCAGCCACAGTTGCTCATGCCTGTAATCCCAGCACTTTGGGAGGCTGAGGTAGGAGGATCGCTTGAGCCTCCAGGAGCTAAGACCAGCTTGGGCAACATAGCTGAGACCTCATGTCTAAAAGTTTTTTTTAAAAAGGCCGGGCGCGGTGGCTCACATTTGTGATCCCAGCACTTGAGGAGACCCGAGGCTGGATCACAAGGTCAGAAGTTCAAGACCAGCCTGGCTAATATGGTGAAACCCCATCTCTACTAAAAATACAAAAAATTAGCCAGGTGTGGTGCCTGTAATCCCAGCTACTCAGGAAGCTGAGGCAGAGAATCACTTGAACCTGAAAGGCAGACTGCAGCGAGCCGAGATAGCGCGTTACATACTTCAGCCTGATGACTGAGATTCTGTCTCAAAAAAAAAAAAAAATTAGATAGGTGTTGTTGCATGCAGCTGTAGTCTCAGTCTCTAGGGAGGCTGAGGCGGGAGGATTGTTTAAGCCCAGGAGGTTGAGGTTGCTGTGAGCTATGATCGCACCACTGTACTCCAGCCTGGGCAATAGAGCAAGACCTTGTTTCAAAAGCAGAAAGAAATGATATGGTGGGAATGGGGACAAAATGGCATGTTGAGTAGAGTGGTCAGGGTTGGCCCTTCATAAGTGAATATTGAGCAAAGTTTGAAGCAGATGATGGAGCTGGCCAAGGTGCTGAAGGAAGAGCACTGTAGGCTGAGTCAACAGGATAAAGGCATTAGAAGGAAACTCCCTGGTGTGTCTGAAGCTCTGGAAGGAGGTCAGTGGAGCAAAGAGAGAGAGGGAGCAAAGTTGGAGCAGGAGGCCAGGAGTTGCTGGGCTGGGATCGGGTATAGATCGCGTAAGCCCTGGGATGCTATTGCTGGGCTTTGGCTTACCTGACTAAAATGGGAACCACCGAGGGTTCTGAGCAGAGGCGACATGATCTGTCTCCTGATTTAAAGCACGCCTCGCCAAGCGTTAAGAAAGACTTCTGGGAAGAGCTTGTGTAGAAGCATGGGGCCAAGCTGTGGCAACATCCCAGTGAGAGATGATAGTGGTCCTGACCTGGTGCACGGTGGTGGTGAGAGATGGTCAGAGCCTGGATTCAGGTTAGTCAGTCAATAGGATTTCCTGACAGACTGGATGTGAGCCATGAGAAAGCAGAGGTCAAGTGTTGAGTTTGATTCTAATTAAATTATTAATTAAAAAGCTCAGAGATCCCACTGAGTCTACATTATAGTGAGTTGTAGAATTATTTCATTATATATTACAATGTAGTAATAATAGAAATAAAGTGCACAGTATATGTAATGCATTTGAATCATCCTGAAATTATTCCCTCCACTCCCAGTCTGTATACATGCCCAGCAATCACAAGGATCTTTATAAGAAAGAAGTAATTGCAAAAAGAACCCTACTGCCTTTCCCAATCCTACCAAGTAAAGGATGCTGGATAAAAAAAAATCCTAAGTCAGGCCAGGGGCAGTGGCTCTTTGTTATAGTTCCAACGGACGGACTTTGAGAGGCAGAGATGGGAGTATGTTTAGGCCATGAGGTTTGAGAGCAGCCTGGGCAACATAGTAAGAACCTCTCTCTACAAAGAAAAAAGAAAAGAAATTTAATAAAATACTGGCTCAATAGCCAGGCATGGTGTGTGGTGTATACCTACCTCAGAAGGCTGAGTGGGCAGTTGATCTCTTGAAGACTAGGAGTTTGAGGAGCCAGCTTGGGCCACATATTAAGACTTCTCTCTAAAAAAAAATTAATAATAATTTTAAAAAAGCCTGTATGGTGGTACTTGCCTGTATTTCCAGGTAACTGTTCAGTTCGGCAGGAGCATCTCTTTGAGCCCAGTTGGTCAAGGCTGCAGTGAGCTATGATTATACCACTGCACCTCATCACTACTTTTGGGTGACACAGTGGGACCCTGTCTCCAAATACAAGCCACAAATGAAATGAAATCCCAAGTCAGACCAGTCCTGCCACTTCTAGGCTATGTAGGCCTTGCAACCTTAGCTGCATGATCGAGGTTTGTGTGGCTTTCTGCGGATGAGACTTCTACCCGATTATGTTGTTGGCTTTATAATCAGTTTATTTTTCAGTATAGTAATCAAATATATTTCATCATACTTGATGGTCTCAGATATGCGTGGGTTTGGAATTCCCCCTTGGAACAGGTTGTAACATCTTATTTGCTCCATCATTCCATAATTTTTAAAATCTGATCATTGTTTACTAAGATCGGAATTGATGAACTACCTAGTCAGTTTGATTATTGAGAAAATGAAATTGTGTTTTTGCACTATCCAGATTGGTATCATATTGGGTAAATGTAATCCAATACTTGAACAAATGCGTTAGAGCTTTATCTATGAAAAGCGATATTCTTATATTCTTGAAGAAGATGCCATTTCTTTTTTTTTTTCTTTTTTTTTTGTACTAGAGTCTTGCTCTTATCGCCCAGGCTGGAGTGCAGTGGTGCAGTTTTAGCTCACTGTAACCCTTGCCTTCTGGGTTCAACCAGTTCAGCACCTCAGCCTCCCGAGTAGCCGGGATTATGGGTGCCGCCACCACACCCAATAATTTTGTATTTTTAGTAAGGCTTTGTGGTTTCACCATGTTGGCCAGGCTCATCTTGGTGGACTTTCCGCCGCGCTCAGGTCTGCCTGCCTCAGCCTCCCAAAGTGCAGGATTACAGGCGTGAGCTGCAGGCCACGAGCCACTGGCTATTTCTTTTCGTGGTCTTTAATAAACAGCTGGTATTGTTGCAGACTTGCTGTTTAGGCACTTAGGAATTTTTTCACTAGAGGCATGTGAAAGACCATGGGCATTTGTAATGGCAACGTTTAGCATTCATTCTTTGCCTAACTGTCCCCAGAGCTGTAACTTTACTAATGAATTCTTTAGAAACCACTTAGCTAGCAACGGAGCCTAACCAGCCACTCACCCTCCTTATTCAGTGCTCTTTTGTTCTTGTCTGTTTCTCCTCCAACTTGGCTACACTCTGAGTGATACAAACTTGCATTTGTTTTCCTTCCTTTTAGAACAGGTCTTGCTCCGTTGCTCGGGCTGCAGTACAATGACATGGTCATAGTTCACTGTAGCCTCAAACTCCTCCAAGCAGTTCTCCCACTTCAGTCTCCCAAACTGGCTGGGACTACAGGCATGTGCCACCATGCCCAGCCAGTTACTGTATTTGCTATCCTAGAGATGGGATCTTGCCAGGTTGCTCAGATTTAGGCTCAATTCTCTGACCTCAAGTGATCCTCCTGACCACAGCCTCCCAAAGTGCTGGGATTACAGGTGAGCATGACTACCTGTGCACAATATATTTAAATAATAGCTTTATTAAAAATATTATTCACATGCCATTCACTTTATTGAAATCTGCAATTCAGTAGGTTTTAGAATACTCAGAGAGCTGTGCATCGATCACCACAGTCACGTTTAGAATCTTTTATTACCCTATAGAGAAATCTATACTCCTTAGCCACTACCTCCTACTCCCCCCACCCTGCCTTGTGGCCCCCAGCCTTAGAGGAAACCATTGATTCATTTTTTTGTCACTATAGATTTGCCTAATCTACTCCCCCCACCTGCCTTGGCCCCCAGCCTTAGGCAACCATTGATTCATTTTTTTGTCGCTATAGATTTGCCTAATCTGGACAAATAGAATTGTACAATGTGTGATCTTTTGTGGCTTTTTTTCCCTCTTAGCACAATGTTTTCAAAGTTCCTTTATGTCATAGTGTGTATCAATATTTCATCGTCCTATTGCTGAGTAATATTCCGTGGTAGAGATACGCTGCATTTTGTTTATCTGTTCATCAGTTGGTGGACATTTGGGTTGTCTTCATGTTTTGGCCATTATGAATAATGCTGCTATGAAGATTGTTGTACAATATATATTTGTGTGGATATATATTTTTATTTCTCTGGGATATATGTCTAGGAGTGAAGTTGTTGCATTATATGCTGACTGTACATTTTGAGAAACTGCCAGACTGTTTTCTTAAGTGGCTACACCAGTTGGGTGTGATGGCTCACACCTGTAATCCCAGCTACTCAGGAGGCGCCGATGGGAGGAATTGTGCCCATGAATTCAAGACCAGCCTGGGCAAGATAGTGAAACCCTGTCTTGATTAAAAAAAAAAAAAAAAATCCAATTGAAATGACAGGAAAAGAAATACCCAAAGTGTTTACACGATTTTATGTTCCCACCAGTAATGTATGTGGGTTCCAATTCCTCCACATCTTCACTGACATTTTTTTTTTTTTTTAGATAGGGGCTGCTCTGTCTCTTAGGCTGCAGCCCAATGACACCACCATCACAGTTCACTGCAGCCTTGACCTCCCAGGCACAAGTGATTCTCTGATCTCAATGCCTGGCTAATTTTTATATTTTTTTGGAGTGATCGGATTTTACCGTGTTGCCCAGGCTGGTCTCATACTCCTGGCCTTGAGTGATCTACCCACCTCAGCCTCCCAAAGTTCTGGAATTACAGGCTGAGCCACCATGCCTGGCCTTCACCAACATTTGTCATTATGTTTTGTTTTTTCTTTTATACCTTAAAGCAGTATAAGAACAAGTGTCTTCAATTATAGGAAACAATATAATCCCAGGGCATTGGGAGGCTAAGACAGGAAGATGTGTTGATGCCAGGAGTTTGTTTTCTGTTTTTTTTTTTCAGACAGAGTCTCACTCTGTGGCAAGAGTGGAGTGCAGTGGTGCAATCTTGGCCCACTGCAACCTCCGCCTCCCAGGTTCAAGTGATTCTCCTGACTCAGCCTCCCAAGTAGCTGAGACTACAGGTACACGCCACTACTGCCCGGCTAATTTCGTATTTTTAGTAGAGTCGGAGTTTCACCATGTTGGCCAGGCTGATCTTGAAGGAGACCAGGTGATTTGCCTGCCTCAGCCTCCCAAAGTCCTGGGATTACAAGCATCAGCCACCATGCCCAGCCTGACACCAGGAGTTTTAGACCAGCCTGGGCAACCTAGCAAGACCTTGTCTCTACAGAATATTTAAAAATTAGCCAAATGTGGAGGTGCCTGCCTATAGTCTCTCTCTCTCTTTCTTTTTTTTCTTTTTTTTTTTAACTTTTTGAGACATAGTCTGGCTCTGTCTGAAACTCCTGGGATCAAGTGATCCGTCCTCCCACCTCATCCTACCAAGTAATAGGGACCACAGGTGCATGCCACCGAGGTCTTGCTATGTTGCCCAGGCTGATCTTGAGCTCCTGGCCTCAAGCAATCATCTCACCTTGGCCTCCCACAGTACAAGGATTACAGGTATGAGCCACCATGCCTGGTACCTACCCTGCCTGTTGAGAACCAAAAGAAGGATCCAAATACTCCTTAGCTCAACTCGAGCCATTTCCTGATTGCATCATCAGCAAGGAGCTGGTTATTGGGCTGTCCAGACCTTCCAAGTGGCACAGAAATGAGGTGAGGGAGTTTTCCTGCTCCTCCATTCTGTGAGGAGTTGGAAGATGATGTTTACTCGTTTGCAGAGAGAGATGCCTTGTAGGCACTTTACGATGGAGGGGACCCTGATTCCAATGTCGTTTTTTTCTTTAGAAACAGGACCTTGCCTTGTCACTTAGGATGGAGTTCAGTGGTCCAATCACGGCTCACTGTAGCCTCAAACTCAAGCAATCCTGCCACATCAGCCTTCCCAGTAGCTGGGACCACAGGTGAGCACCGTGACACTCAGTGAATTTTGTTTTGATTTTTTTGTAGAGATGGGGCCTCAACTGTGTTGCCAGGGCTGACCTTGAACTCCTGCACTCACGGGATTTTCCTGCGTTGGCCTCCCGAAGTATTGGTATTACAGGCATGAGCCATTGTGCCCACTGTCTCTGGTTCTTAACCTTCTGCCTCCCTCTTCCACTTTTAAAGAATGCTTGTAATTACATGGGCTCTTCTAGATATTCCAGGATAATCTTGTTTTAAGGTCAGCTGATTTTCAACATTAATTTTATCTGCACTCTTAATTCCCCCTTCCTATGTAATTGTGCTGTGTAACATAGGACATGAACAATTGGTGGGGGTGGGGGTTATTACTTTGGCTACCACAGTAACTGTTTTATGCTAGGTACTGAGCTAAGCACTGGTGAATTAAGCATGAATAACACACTCTCCCTAATCTCCATGCATTCATGGGAGGAGCACCTCACCTGCCATGCTTCTGAGAATCTGGGGAGTCAAGGAAGTCTTCTGTGAGGAGGGGATGCCAAAGTGGACAAGTGACAGAGGAGCCGAAGCTAGCCAGGAAGAGAGTAGAGGTTTAAGGGGAAGCGTATTATAAGCAGAGGGTATCACCCACTTCAGAGACTCCCAGAGGGGAAAGATGAGGCTCAGTTGGACTCCATAGCAGGTGAAATGGAGAGGGGCAAGCAGTGAGGCTGCCTTGCAAGGCAGGGCAGAGCAGGGGCTGTTAAGGAGTTTGGACTTAATCCCAGAGGCAAGGAGAAGTGATGTAAATGGGGGAGTAACGTGATGAGATTCATGGATTAGAGACATGGCTCAGGCTGCTATAGCGAAGACACCAGGGGGAGCAGATGGCTCAGTGGGTGTGCAGGAGACCTCTTACTGAGTTTAGGAAGAGGTTTTTAAAATAGCAGAAGTTTGAGTAATTTAAATGATGGTGGGAAGGAGCTAAGAGTGGGGGATAGGTTAAAGATACAGGAAAGTGGGAGGAAGAACTGACAAGTGAGTTTCCTGAGAGGGCAGGAGAAGAGGAGATTCCCATAGGGGGATTAACACTTTCTTTTCTTTTTCTAAGACAGGGTCTTACTCTGTCACCTAGGCTGGAGTTCAGTGGCATGATCTTGGCTCACTGTAGTGTAGACTTCCTAGGCTCAAGGGATCCTCCTACCCCAGACTCCCAAGTAGCTGGAACTACAGGTGTGCACCACCACCACACCTGGCTAATATTGTTCTTTTTTTTTGGTAGACACAGCGTCTCACTATGTTGCTCTGACTGGTCTCCAACTCCTGGCCTCAAGCGATCCTGCTGCCTAGGCTTCCAAAATTGTTGGGATTACAGGCATGAGCCATAATGCCTGACCTCTGCTAGTTCTGTATTCTCTAGAGATGTCTTTACTTTGTGCTAGTGTGTCCCTCATTATGCTGATCCTCTGTTAAAATTAATACCTTTTTTTCTTTTGAGATGGAGTTTCATTCTTGTTGCCCAAGCTGGAGTGCAATGGCGCTATCTCGACTCACCGCAACCTCCGCCTGCCGGGTTCAAGTGATTCTCCTGCCTCAGCCTCCTGAGTAACTGGGATGACAGCCATGTGCCACCATGCCCAGCTAATTTTGTACTTTTGGTAGAGAGGGGGTTTCTCCACGTTGGTCAGGCTGGTCTCGAACTCCTGACCTCAGGTGATCCGCCTGTCTTGGCCTCCCAAAGTGCTGGGATTATAGGCATGAGCCATTTCACCTGGCCAAAATTAATACTTTTTATATTAAATTTACATATATGTATTTTTTTCTTTTTGATACCGGGTCTCACGCTGTCACCCAGGCTGGAGTGCAGTGGCACAACCTCTGCTCATCGCAGCCTCCACCTGCCAAGCTCAAGCAATTCTCCTGCCTCAGCCTCCCACGTTGCTGGGATTACAGGTAAGTGCCACCACATAGCTAATTTTTGTGTTTTTTGTAGAGATGGGATTTCGCCATATTTTGTAGAGATGGGATTTCGCCATATTTCCCAGATTTCGCCATATTTCTCAGGTCTCAAACTCCTGAGCTCAAGGCAATCCACCCACCTTGGCCTCAGAAAGTGCTGAGATTACAGGTGTGATCCACCTTGCTCATTCCAGTTTAAACTTTTGAGTTGTTTGAGTCTCCTGATTGGACTCCTACAAATACAGAATTGATGCTAGGAAGGGTACCAGGAGATAGACCCACATGGATAGGATTTGGGAATAGGCTTGGTTATCCAAGGAGCAGTGCTGAACTGCTTCCTAATTGGATATAGGATGCTGGTGATTTCCAGGAAGTGACCTCACAATGACTCAAGCTACCACTTACTGTTGATTGTGGTGAAAGGCCAGGTGAAGCATTTGCCCTGCAAGCTTAGGGGTGCTACAGTTGACCACTGCCGCAGTAAAGATGACTCTGAAGAATGGCATGGGATGGATCCTTTCGAATGCACTTGAGCAGTGGTCTCCAACCACAGGGCCATAGAACCGGAGGTGAGCAGCAGGCAAGTGAGGGGAAACTTCATCTGTATTTCTAGCCCCTCCTATCGCTTGTATGACCACCTAGGCTCCATGTCCTGTCAGATGAGCAGCGGCATTACGATTCTCATAGAAGCCACGAACCCTGTTGTAAGGCGTGCATGTGAGGAATCTAGGTTGTGCACTCCTTATGAGAATCTAATGCCTGATGTTCTATCACGCTGTCTCCCATCACCCTAGATGGACAGTGTAAATTGAAACTAGCTCAGAAGATCCCCTGAGTCTACATTATAGTGAGTTGTAGAATTATTTCATTATATATTACAATGTAGTAATAATAGAAATAAAAGGGCACAGTATGTAATGCATTTGAATCATCCTGAAATTATTCCCTCCACTCCCAGTCTGCGGAAAATTGTCTTCCCACACATTCACTCTGTTTTTGGTAGAAAGTCTTAATATATTGCTCAGGCTGATCTCAAAATTCCTGGCCTCAAGTAGTATACCTCTCCAGCCCCTCCCAAAGTGCTGAGTTTACAGGCATAATACCACCCTCAGCAAGACTTATTTCTTAAACCAAATAAAAATTAAGTGAGATTACTTGAGCCCAGGTGAGTGAGGCTGCAGCAAGCCCTAATTACCACTGCACTCCAGCCTAGGTGACAGAAAATAAAAAATAAAATAAAAATAATGTCTCAAAAAGTAAAATAAAATACAAATTAACCCTTTATGACATTCCCAGTAACTTTCCCTCCTAAGTGTTCCCCACAAGTCTTTGAATTTTGTTTAATTTTCACACACATACATTAGACGTTTAAGAACTTCCGTCTATCTGTGTCATCCTTTATTTCAAAAGAATGTCTTTTTGTCACTTCCAGCTGGATCAACCATGAAAGACTTCTGAATCCAGGAAGAGAGACTGACTGAGCAACATGTTATTCAGGTACAAAAAGACTTGGACTGTAACTCAGAAATGATCAAATAATAGTGCATGCATCAAGTGCAGTGGGAAGCTCTTTTGGACAGTGAGAGAAGCTTCCAATTAAGGTGACCCTTGAAGCCAAGTCCTGTGAAGATGAGGAAGAATTGTATGAGAGTGGGGAGGGAAGTGGGGAGGTGGAGGGATGAAGAATGGGCTGGGATGGGATGAAGTGAGCTGCTCAGTCAGGAAAACCAGCACTGTACAGACCTGGACAATGGGAATGTCCACTTTTTTTTCAGGGAATGGTGAATTAAGTGTGGCAGAAAGTGCTTTACTTAGAACAATCTACTTAGCATAAATTTACCCTGAGGAACCTAGCTACAGTTTCTAATTTTGATGTTATCATCCATCACTGTCCTTGTCAGATAGTTTGGAATGAGATGTAGTCACAACACCAAGCAGAGTATTTCAGTGATTCTCACTGAGATGCAGGTGGTCTACAGTTTATCCCCATTTTATGAATGAGGTAGAAGGCGACATAGGAATAATGAGTGGTTTGCTCAAGCTCACCTGGATCATTCAAGCTGAGTCAAGTGTTGGGTCTGGTCTGACTTTATTGCTTGCTGTGCTGAGCACCGTGACCTCTCCTATGCAGTTAAGCAGGTATACAGGTGACAGAAAAGCCCGTGTTTGTCTCTACTCCACACCTTCCGACTGAATGTATGTATGGAGTTTCTACCAAATTCTCCAGTACTCTGCATATTAACTGGGTATCCCGTGATTTTATTCTGATACTACCTGGACTTAGCACAGACTCCACAAGTTAGGGGCTCAGTCACGAGACTATCCTCACTTCAGATGCCAGTGGCAAGTCCTAGTTATCACCTGTATACAGCCAACCTGTTACAAATCAGGGTTCCCACTTAACTCTCTTCTTGGGTTTAATAATTTGCTAGAACAGTTTCCAGAACTCAGAGAAACCAGTTTATTTCTTTTCTAGAGAGAAACGGTCTTATTTGTTGCCCAGGCTGGTGTGCTATATTTCTTCTTTTTTTTTTTTTTTGAGACAAAATCTCACTGTGTCATCCAGGCTGAGGTGCGATGATGTATCATGGTTATTATAGCTTTGACCTCCTGATCAGCGATCCTCCCACCTAAGCCTCCGAGTAGCTGGGACTACATGCATGTCACCCATGCCCAGCTCATTTTGTAGTCAGAGTTTCACCATGTTGGCCAGGTTGGCCATGTTGGCCAGATGGGGGTTTTGTTGTATTGCCCAGGCTGGCCACAAATTCCTGGAGCTCAAGTGATGCTCCCACCTCATCCTTGTAGAGATGGGATTTGTTCTCATCACCCAGGCTGATCTCTCAAACTCCTAGGCTAAATCGATTGTCTCACCTCAGCTTATCCAGTAGCTGGGACTACAGGCACACACCACCATGTCGGAGCTAATATTTATTTTTATTTTTTCTAAATTGGGTCTCACTATGTTGTTTATACTGGTTCAAACTTCAGGCCTCAAGTGTTCCTCCTGCCTTGACCTCCCAAAGTGTTGGGATTATGGGTGGTAGCCACCATGCCCAGCAATCGCAGAGTCTTTATAAAAAGAAAAGAAGTAGAGATTCAGAAGTGAAACAGGAGATGTGGTGATGGAAGCAGAGGTAAGAGAGGGAGATTTGAAGATGCTTCACTTCTGGCTTTGAAGATGAAGTCAGGGGCCATGATCCAAGGAATGGCAGTGGCTTCTAGAAGCTGAAAAAGCCAGGGGAACACTGGAGTCTCAGAGGAATGCAGCCCTGCTGACACCTTGACTTTAGCCTTAATAGACCTAGTTTGTGTTTCTGGCCCCCAGAACTGTAAGATGGTACATTTGTGGTGTTTTAAGCCACTGAATGTAGAAAACTGCAAACTACATTGCAGCAGCAAGAAGAAATGAACATGAAGCCAGGCGCGGTGACATGCCCAGTAATCCCAGCACTTTAGGAATTTAGGCAGGAGGATTACTTGAGGCCAGGAGTTCAAGACCAGCCTGGGCAACAGAGTAAGACCCTGTCTTTACAAAAAATGAAAACATTGGCTAGGCATGGTGGCTCACGCATATAATTCAGCACTTTGGGAGACTGAAGTGGGCAGATCACTGAGGTCAGGGTGCGAGCAGCCTGGCCACATTGTGAGGCTCCTGTCTCTACTAAAAATACACAAATTAGCTGGGCATGGTGGCGCACGCCTGTAGTCCCAGCTACTTGAGAGGCTGAGGCAGGAAAGAATCCACATAGATCTAGGAAGAGTGGGGAGGAGTGGCGCAGTGAGCAAGGATTCACCATTGCATTCCAGCCTGGGCAAGAAAAGAGTAAAACATCTCAAAATAAAAATAAAATAAAATACTAAAAAAATTAGCCCAGGCACGTGGCATCTACATTGCAGCAGCAAGAAGAAATGAACATGAAGCCAGGCATGATGGCTTATGCCAGTAATCCCAGCACTTTAGGAATTTAGGCAGGAGGATTACTTGAGGCCAGGAGTTCAAGACCAGCCTGGGCAACAGAGTAAGACCCTGTCTTTACAAAAAATGAAAACATTGGCTAGGCATGGTGGCTCACGCATGTAATTCCAGCACTTTGGGAGACTGAAGTGGGCAGATCACCTGAGGTCAGGAGTTCGAGAGCAGCCTGGCCACATTGTGAAACCCTGTCTCTACTAAAAATACACAAATTAGCTGGGCATGGTGGCACGCACCTGTAATCCCAGCTACTTGGGAGGCTGAGGCAGGAGAATCACATGAATCTGGGAGGTGGAGGTGGCAGTGAGCCGGGATTCCACCATTGCACTCCAGCCTGGGCAAGAAGAGTAAAACTGTCTCAAAATAAAATAAAATAAAATACTAAAAACATTAGCCAGGCACGATGGCATGAACCTGTAGTCCCAGCTACTCGGGAGGCTGAGGTGGGAAGATTGCTTGAGCCTGGAAATTTGAGGTTGCAGTGAGCTGTGATTGTGTCAGTGCACTCCAACCTTGTTGACAGATCTTGAAAAAAAGAAGGCAGAAAGTAAAGAAGAAATGAGCATGGTGGGCATGGGGACAGATGGCAATGTTAAATATTATGGTCAGGGGTAGCCTTCTAAGTGAAAATTGAGCAAAGACTTGAAGGAGGGGAAGGAGCTGGCCAAGGTGCTGAGGGAAGAGGATTGTAGGCAGAAACAACAGAATAAAGTGTCCGAGGTGTGTCTGAGGCTCTGGAAGGAGGCCAGTGGAGCAGAAGGAGAGAGGGAGAGAATTACGGGAGGGGGCCAGGGAGTTGCTGGGTGGGGATCAGTACAGATCATGTAAGCCCTGGGAGGTTATTGCTGGGGCTTTGGCTTTGACACTGACTCAGATGGGAACTGCAGGAGGGTTCTAAGCAGAGAGGCGACATGATCTGTCTTCCGGTTTAAAAGCATTCTCTGGCTGCTGAGTTCAGAAAGACTCTGGGAAGATTTGGGTAGAAGCATGGGGGCCAAGTTATGGCAACATCCAGGCAGGAGATGATTTTGGTCCTGGCCAGGGTCATGGTGGTGTTGAGAGGTGGTCAGAGGGGAGAAGTAGGGGAGGCGGCCAGGGAGTTGCTGGGTGGGGATCTGTAGTGTGTGTTGAAGACAGTCAACAGGATCTCCTAACAGACTGGATGTGAGAGAAGGCAGAGGTCAAGGTTGAGTTTGATTCTTACTGAATTATTAAGTAATTTAAAAAAACACTACTGCCTTTCCCAATCCTAGCAAGTACAGGATGCTAGGTTAAAGAAATCTCTTCAAGTTCATTGCAGTGGCTCATGTCTGTAGTCCCAGCTGTTTGGGAAGCAGAGATGGGAGTATCTTTTAAGGGCAGGAGTTCAAGACCAGCCTGGGCAACACAGCAAGATCTGCTCTTTACAAAAATATTTTTCAAAATTAAATAAATGTAGCTAGGCATGGTGATGTGTACTTGTAGTTTCAGCTACTCAGGAGGCTGAGGTGGGCAGATCTCTTGAGGTCAGGAGTTTGAGGCCAGCTTGGGCAACATAACAAGACCCTCACTCTACAAAAAAATTTAAAAAATAGCCAGGCATGGTGGCACTCAACTGTAGTACCAGCTGCTGGGGAGCTGAGGAAGGGAGATGGCTTGAACCCAGGAGGTTGAGGCTGCAGTGAGCTGTAAGTGCACAGCTGCACTCTAGTCTGGGTGACAGAGCAGAACCTGTATCACAGTACAAATACAATAATGAAATCTCAAGTCAGAGCCTTTCAGCTCTACAACCCTTGCAAACCCTGAGCCATGCAGTAGGGTTTGCGTCGCTGGGAATGAGGAGACCCCTGCCCTGTGTTGTTGCCTGACTAATCAGTGTTTTAAGCATTTGTTAATCAGGGTGGCCGCGGTAGCTCACGCCTGTAATCCCAGCACTTCAGGAGACCCAGGCGGGTGGATCACCTGAGGTCAAGAGTTCAAGACCAGCCTTGCCAACATGGCTAAACCCTGTCTCTACTGACAAAATACAATAATTAGCCGGGCATGGTAGTGGGTGCCTGTGATCCCGGCTACTTGGGAGGCTGAGGTAGGAGAATCGCTTGAGCCCGGGAGGCGGAGGTTGCAGTGAGCTGAGATTATGCCACTTCACTCCAGCCTGGGCGAAAGAGCGAGTATTATATCAACATGTAATGGTTTTATTATTAATATGTAAAGAATGTTAAATATTTTAAGAATCTTGTATCAACATGTAATGACTTTATTAATATGTGATGAATATTTTTAAAATTTTGTGTTTTCTAGTTTTAATATAATTGTTTATATAAAGAAATAGTCTTAGAGGTCTTTAATAAAGTTAAAAAATGTAAAGACATCCTAGACCCCAAAAGATTGAGAACTTCTAGTTTAGAAATATTCAGAATAAGCCACATACAACTTGCTACTTGAACTATTTTTTTTCTTTGTTTTTTATTTTAGGAGATGAGGTCTCACCCTGTCACCCAGGCTGGAGTACAGTAGTACTATCACAACTTACTGCAGTCTTGAACTTCTGGGCTAAGGATCCTCCTGTCTGAGCCTCCTGAGTAGCTGGGACTATAGGTATACATGACGACACTTGGCTAATTTTTAAATTGTTTTGTGGACATGGGGTCTCACTTTGTTGGCCTGGCTGGTGTCAAACTCCTGGCCTTAAGTAACCCTTTCACCCCTGCCTCCCATCCTAGAAGTATGAGCTGCCACAATGAGCACTTCTTCAATTTTCTAAACAAATAAAACATTTCTAAAGTAAGGCTGTAGGATGATGGCAGGAAGATAAAAATAGAAAAACAGAAGAATAAGTTCAAATGACTTACACATATTCTTTTCACAGCAAAAACTTTTAGTATATACATTCCTTGCAAACATAAGGCAAATAAACAGTGTTGTATAGGAACGTCAATACACACTGTACAATATTCCCACTTTGCTGACATGAGTTATGGAAATTTTGTGGTTTACTGGAGTATTACTATCAGTATTTTGCTTCTCTGATCATTTTTATGAACTTCCTTATCTGTTAACTTCTCTCCAAGGTATGTCATATCGTGACATACTGCTGCTGCACAAACATGGCCAGTGTCTTCCTCTTAAACATGTTGAATGCTTTCTTAATTTCTTTTACCCTCTGTCTCTGTGTTTTGCATTTTTCTTACCTTTATTGTCAGGAACTCCAGAAAGTCAGTCATACTAATTTATCGCCATTTGCTTTATTAATTTATACTTTGCTTATATGGAATTTTGCCCAACAGGCCTCATTACAATTTCTAACCTGTTTTGTTTTATTTTGTTTTTTTCTGAGACAGAGTCTCGTTCTGTTGTCCAGTCTGGAGTGTAGTAGTACTATCACAGTTGACTGCAGCCTCAACCTCCCAGGCTCAAGCAATCCTCCCGTCTCAGCCTCCCACGTGGCTGAGACTATAGGTGCTTGCCACTATGCCCAACTAATATTTGGAATTTTCCTATACGTGGGTTCCAGAGGGGTGACAGCGAAACGTGAGTAAGCATGGATTTTGGTATATGCAGAGATGGGGGGCTGGAACTAATTCTGTCTGTATACTGAGGGACGACTGTATATGTTTTTACAGTTATGCTGTAGGACACATACTGTTACATAGCCTTGAAAATAAGAATTTTTAACTGAGTGGAGTAATAATAATATTGATAAAAGTAGCAGCTGGCCAGGTGTGGTGGCTTACACCAGTAATCACAACACTTTGGGAGGCTGAGGCAGGAGGATGGCTTGAGGCCAAGAGTTTGAGACAGGCCTTGGAAACAAAGGGAGTCACCATCCCTACAGAAAAATACATGAATTAGCCTAGTGTGGTGGCATGTTCCTGTAGTCCCAGCTACTTGGGAGGCTGAGGTGGGAGGATTGCTTGAGCCCAGGGAGGCTGAGACTGCAGTGAGTCATGATCAGGCCTCTGCACTCCAGCCTGGGTGACAGAGTGAGACCCTGTCTCAAAACAACAAAAAAGTAGCAGCTAACATCAACTGACCTTTTACCAGTTGCCTGTTAATACCATGGTTTAATTTCTTATAACTGTTTCTTATTTCACTTAACCACTCTGTCTTCCGTTACTCCCAGATTTTCACTGTTTGTGCAGATGACCTTTGTTTAGATTGAATTGTCTCCCCAAGGTATTTGCAGAAGTAAGATTACTGTGAGTCATGGTGAATGGACATTCTCATTACCCTTGATGTAAATTGACAAGGTTTTGGGTGTCTCCCAGCTATAATCTCAGCACTTTGGGAGGCTAAGACAGGAGGATTGTTTGATGCCAAGAGTTGGAGGAGGCAGTTTGGCAGTATGGTGAGACCCTGTCTCTATTATTTTAAAAAATTGTCAAGCTTTACCCTGGAAGGCTTATATACAATTTAAACACCCCTCATAGTATAAGAAAGTGCCCATTTCACTGCATCTTTGCCAGCACAGGGTCTTATAATTTAATGTCATTTTTTGTTTATTTTAAATTGGTAAAAGACCTCATATTACTTTACTTGTCACATTTCTACATCTTTCCTTAGCTTATTAGCTCTATTTCCTTTCTGTCTGTAAACGGTTGTTGTTGTTTTGTTCTTTGAGACAGGGTCTTGCTCTGTCACCCAGGCTTGACTGTAGTGGCATAATCATGACTCACTGCAGCCTTGATCTCCCAGGCTCAAACTTCAGCTTCCTGAGTAGCTGAGACTACAAGTGTGCACCACCACTCCCAGCTAAGTTTTTTCTTTTTTTGAATAGAGACAGGGTCTCACTGTGTTGTCCAGACCAGTCTCTAGCTCCTGGCCTTAAGCAGTCCTCCTGTGTTAGCTTCTCAAATTGCTGGAATTTTGGGTATGAGCCACCGTGCCTGGCCTGGGCTAGTCCTGATTTCTCTAGAGTTCTCTTCACTGTGTGCTAGCCAATCTCTCATTATGCTGTTCCCCTGTTACAATGAATAATTCTCTGGATTAAATTTGACCACTTTAAACTTTTGAGTGGTTTATGTCTCCTGGGACCCTTCCGAGTATATTAGTCAGAGTCCAATCAGGAGACCACTTTAAACTTTGAGTGGTTTATGTCTCCTGATTGGACTCTGACTAATATACTCGGAAGGGTCCCAGGAGATAAACTCACACAGATGGGATTTGGGCATGGGCTTGATTTTCCAAGGACAAAGGAGCTCCTGTCAATGGGAAATGGGATGCTGGTGATTTCCGCTAAGTGACCTCACAGTGACTCAAGCTACCACTCTACTGCTGATTGTGATGAAATGCCAACTGGAGGCACATGCCTTGGGAGCTAAGTGGTTGCTGCACAGGACCGCTATGAAGACTGGTGTGGGAAGGGTCCTCAGGATGTGACTTGAGCAGGGGTCCCCAACCCCTGAGCCATGGAGCTGTAAGGAGCCACACAACAGGAGGTGAGTGGTGTCGAGTGAGGGAAGCCCATCTGTATTTACAGCCACTCCCTTGCTCACATTCCCGGAGCCTGGAGCTCCACCTTCTCTCTCAGGTCAGCAGCATTAGGATTCTCATAGGAGCACGCACCGTTGTGAACCGTGCATGTGAGGCATCTAGGTTTTGCTGTCCCTATGAGAATCTACGCTAATGATCTGTCCCTCCCGTCACGCCAGATGGGACCATCTAGTCGCAGGAAAACAAGCTTAACATGCCCACTGATTCTACATTATGGTGAGTTCTATAATTATTATATCACAATTTAATAATGGAAATAAAGTACCTAATAAATGTAACAGGGTTGGATCTTTGGCTCCAGGTCTTGCCTCCTGGCAGCCTCTGCAGCCTCCAGGCCCCGAACTTTCTCCAGTCGGCCCTCTACAGACCAAGCTCATGACTCACAATGGTCTATTTAGGCCTGTACCCTACCTCACGGCAGTCTCCACAGATAAGGCTACTGCCTCACAACAGCCTCCACAGGCCCAGCTCCATCGCACACGGCCTCTTTAGAGCCAGCTCCTGCCTCCCAGTCTCTCTCCAGGTCCAGAACTTTCTCAAGTCGACCTCACCAGACACAGCTCCTGCCTCTCACTTACCTCCCAAGGGCCAGCTTTTGCCTCACGGCCACCTTCCGAGACCCAGCTCCTGTTTTACGGTGGCCTCATGAGGCCCGTCTTCTGACTCCTGGCAGCCTGTACAGGCCCAGCTCCTGCCTTACAATGGCCTCTTTAGTCCCAGCTCCTGCCTCTTTGCAGGAGGCCCGAATGTCCTCAAGTCCAGGCCACAAAGTCCAGGCCCAAAATGTCCACAAGTCGGCCTCTCAAGGCCCCGCTCCTGCCTTTCGTTGGCCTCTCCAGGCCCAACTGCTGCCCCCAGGTGACCTCTACAGGCTGCGCTTTTACTTTTGGCTGTGCCTGGAGGCCCAACTCCTGCCTCAGAACAACCTCTTTTGGCTCAGCTCCTGCCCAGTTCCTGGTGGCCTTTGAAGGCCCAAAAGTGCCTCAAGTCAAGCTTTCCAGGCCCACCCTCTGCCTCCCAGTGGCCTGGACAGGCCCAGCTCCTCCGTAACAATGGCCTCTCCAGGCCCACCTTTTGCCTCACGGACATGTTCCCCAAACAAGCTCCTACCTGCCTCCCGGCCAGCTCGACGGGCACAGATCCTGCCTCACACTAACCTCGTTAGGCCCAGCTCATGCCTCACTGTGGCCTGTCCAGGCCCAGGTCCTGCCCCCCAACAGGCTGTCCGTGCCTGAAACTTCCTCAAGTCAGCCTCTCCAATCACAGCTCCTGCCCAACATTGGCCTCTTTAGGCACGGCTTATGCCTTGGTGGCCTCTCCAGGCCTCTCCAGGCCCAGCTCCTGCATCCTGGCAGCTTCTCTAGACCAAGAACTTTCTCAAGTCCGCCATCCCAGGCCCAACTCTTGCCTCCCGTCAGCCTCTATAGGCTCAACCTCTGCCTCACAGGAGACTTTCCTGGCCACCTAGGCCAAGCTCCTGCCTTTCAGCAGCCTCTGCAGGCCCAGCTCCTGCCTCTCAATGACCTCTCTAGAGCAAGGTCATGCCTCACAGCGGCCATTCTGGCTCAGCTTTTGCCTGTTGGCAGCATCTCCAGGCCCAGAACTTCCTCAAGTGGGCCTCTCCAGGCCTTCCTCAAGTGGGCCTCTCCAGGCTCAGCTCTTCCTCCCGGCTGCATCTCCAGGCCCATCTCCTACGTCACAACAACCTCTTTCAGCTCAGCTCTTGCCCAGCTCCTGGCAGCCTTTATAGGCCCAAAGCTTTCTCACATCACGTTCTCTAGCACAACCTTCCTCCCAGCAGCTTAAATAGGTCCAGCTCCTGCGTGACCATGGCCTCTCCAGGCTCAGCTCTTGCTTAACGGAGTCCGTCCTCGGCCAAGTTCCTGCCTGTCTCCCAGCAGGCTCGAAAGGCCCAGCTCCTGCCCCCGACAGTCTCTCCAGGCCAAAATCTTCCTCAGGTCGGCCTCTACAGGCTGGTCTCTTGCCTCACACTGGCCTCTCCAGGCCTAGCTCCTGCATCTTGGCAGCCTCTCCAGGCCCAGCTCTTGCCTCATGGCAGCTGCCCCAGGCCAAGTTTCTGACTGCCTGCCAGCAGCCTCAACAGGCACAGCTGCTCCCTCACACTGGCCTGTTTAGGCCCAACTCCTGGCTGTCAGGCCATATCCAGGCCCAGTGCCTGCCTTCTGACTGACTCTTGAAGCCCAAAACTTCCTCAAATCAGTCTTTTTAGGCCCACCTTCTGTATACTGTTGTACTCTACAGGCCAGCCTCTGCCTCACAGTGGACCCTCCAGACCCAGATCATGTCTTAATGTGGCATCCTCAGGTGAAGATCCTGCCTTTCGGCAGCTTCTACAGGGCCATCTCCTGCCTTGCAATGGCCTCTTTAGGCCAAGCTCATGCCCCATAGCGACTTTTCCAGGCACAGATTTTTGCCTTTTGCAGCCTGTCCAGGCCCAGAATATCCTCAACTCGGCATCTCTGGGACGAGTTCATTCTCCTGGCTGCATCTACAGGCCCATTTCCTGCCTCAAAACAACTTCCTTTGGCCCAACTCCTACCGAGCTGCTGGCAGCCTCTGTAGGCCACAGACTTCTTAAAGTAAAGCTTTCCAGGCCCACCTTCGGCCTCCCACCTTTCTCTGTATACTGCTGTACTTACAGGCCAGCTTCTGCCTCACAGTGGACCCTCCAGACTCAGATCATGTCTTAATGTGGCATCCTCAGGTGAAGATCCTGCCTTTCGGCAGCTTCTACAGGGCCATCTCTCGCCTTGCAATGGCCTCTCTTAGGCCAAGCTCATGCCCCAGCCACTTTTCCAGTGTACAGATTTCACTTTTGCAGCCTGTCCAGGCCTAGAAGATTCCCAAACTCGGCATCTCTGGGACGAGTTCATTCTCCTGGCTGCATCTACAGGCCTATCCTGCCTCAAACAATTTCCTTGGGCTCCTAACTCACTGAGCTGCTGGCAGCCTCAGGCTGCCAGACTTCTTAAAGTAAAGCTTTCCAGGCCCACCTCTGCCTCCCGCAGCCTCAGCACTAAACTATTCCCCTCATGGCAGCTTGCAAAAAGCCAAGTTTCTCCCTCGCTCACGAATCCTCCAAAATAAGCATTTGCCTCACGGCAGCTTCTCAAGGCCACAAATCTGCCTGTCTCCCAGCAGTCTTGGATAAGTCCAGCTGCTGCCTCACAATGGCCTCCCTTTAGGCCAGTGCCATGCCAAAAAGGTGGACTCTCCAGGGCATAGCTCTGCCTCCTGGGCAGCCTCTGCAGGCCCCAGTTCTCTAAAAGTTGCCCTCTCCCAACCCAGCCCTACCCCCACATCAGCCTACACAGGCCTAAATCCTACCACACAGTGGTCTCTTCCAGGCCCACTTGATCATGGCTTCCTCAGGGGTGAAGCCTGTTTAAATGGCCTCTTCTGTAGGCTGCTCACATCTCCCAGTGGCTCTTTTCTAATTTAATTTTTGCTTTTGACGCATACCCAGCCCAAATCCCTCCCATTCCAGCCTGTCCAGGCCAAGATCTTTCTCTCCCTAGTAAGGCCCCTCTCTTGGCAGGCCTGTGGCAATCATCCTGAAGTCAGCCCTGCAGGCCCAGGTCCTGCCTCCCAGTGCTGTGTAGTCAAGCTAATGCCTCACAGGCAGACTTTCCAGGCCAAGTGTTTGCTTGTGCATCGTCTCCATGCCCTCAAATTACTCCAGTCGGGCCCTCCAGGCCCAGCTCTTTTCCTTCCCAGCAGCCAAATTGTCCTCAATTTGGCCTCCAGACCAACTCCTGCTCCTGGTGGCTTCTGAGGCACAAAATTGACCTCACGGCCAGCCTCCTCTAGGCCCGGCTCTGCCTCTAAGTAGACTCTCCAGGTGCACAACTGCCCTGTCAGCCTCCAGCCCAACTCCTGCCTCCCAGTGGCCTCTTTAAGACTCGTAGTTCATTCTTCTACAATGGGATTTGGTAGGCCTGGGTTTTTCCTGTTGGAGTGGCTTCCTCAAGCCCAGAACGCTCTCAAATCGGACTCTCCAGACTCCATTTGCTGCCACATGGTGGTCTCCTCCTGGCCCAGGTCATCTTCCGGCTGTGTTTATACGCTCAATTCCAACCAGACAACAACCTCAGACGCCTCTGCCAAGCCCTGACGGCTCATATAGGCCCAAACTTCCTCACAACGCAGCCTCACTGTACAACTCCAGCCACATGGGGCCTCTGCAGGCCGAACCATCCCGAATTGGCCCGTCCAGGTCTAGTTACTGCCTCCCGACGACCTCTGCAGGCCCAGCCTCTGCCTCATGGCAACCTCCACAGGCCAAGGTCTTCCCCGCTGCATATATAGGCCCAACTCTGCCTCTCAAAATTAGCAACTTTTGTCTCTGCTCTTGCACATATTCTACCAGCTCCAGGCTAGATAATTGTCTCCAGACCAGTTTTGGCTCTCCGCAGCCCAGAGTTGCCCCTGTTTTCGACAGGGCTTGATGAGGCGCCAGCTTCCAGTTTCCCTAGTGGCTACTTTAGGCCTAGCTCATTCCCTTCTCTGGGAATCAGCCTTTACAGGCCCACTCTTACCTCTGGCGTCTCTTCAGGCCGAGAACTTCCTCAGCCGCCGCCCAGACCCAGTTTCGCCTCCGAGTTGCTGCCACGCCGAGCTCTTCCTCCTCCCTGCTGCGGCCTCCACAGACCCAACTCCCGCCTTGAAAGCAACAGCCTTTGGGGCGGCAGCCCTGCCCAGCTGTTGTCAGCCTTGTAGGCCCAGAACTTTCTCCTGCACAGGTTCTTTGGGCCTACCTCCTGCTCCCGCTGGCCTGCACGACCCAGCTGTCGCCCGAAAACAGCCTCTGCAGGCCCCGCCCTGCCTCCCGGGGCTTCCAGGCCCAGCCTGCGCCTCACGGAGCCTCCGGGGTCACATTCCTGCCTGGCTCCCAGCAGCCTTGACAGGGCCAGCTCATTCCCATGTACCTGTTTAGGGCCTAGGTCAGGCTTCTGGCAGCTTGCTCCCGCAGGTGTCAGCCCTGCCTCCCACTGGCTTCTCCAGGCCAAGGTCCTCCCTACACGGCTCGTGTCTCGCCGCGGCCTCCAGGCCTAGCTCCTGCCTGTAGTGCCTCAAAGGCCCCGTCTCTGCCTGACAGTGGGCCCTCCAGGACCACCTCTGCCGTGCCATGGCCCCCGGCCACGCCCTGCCTCGGCGACCTCTGCCAACCCGGCCTCACCCTCCTGGTGGCCTCTAAAGACGCCTCTAGCCCATGGCCCAGGCGGCCTTTCGCGGGCCTGCAGCTTGTACCTCCTCCAGGCCCCGAACTTGCTCCAGTAGGCCTTTCCAGGCCCAGCTCCTCCTCCGCGAGCGCCTCCCGAGGCGCACGCTGGCCTCAGCCGGCCTCCAAGGATCGCCTTGCCTCGCCTCTCCAGCTGCCAGACTTCCTCAGGTCAGCCTCTCCAGGCCCAGCTCCTCCGGCCTGCCACTGGCCTCTTGAGGCCCAGCCCCACTCACGCCTCTGGGCGGCCTCCTCAGGCCCAAGACTTGACCTAAAGTCGGCCTCGCCAGGCCCTGCCTCCTGCCCTCCGAAGGCCTGCACAGGCCCAGCCTCTCCCTCACAGTGGACTCTCCACGTCCAGCTCTCGCCTGACTGCGGCCTCCAGAGGCCAGAGCTCTTCCTGCCTTTCGGCAGCTCCGCCGGGCCCCGCTCCTGCCTCCCGGTGGCCTCATTAGGCCCGGCTCATTCGTCACGGGGAACGGCCTTTCCAGGCCCAGCCTTTGCCTTTTGGCGGCCTCTCCAGGCCCCGAATTTTTACAGGCCGGCCTCTCCAGGCCCAGTTGCGACCTCCCGGCCTCCCCTCCCGTCCCAGTTCCTCCTTTTCCCGGCTGCGGCCGCAGGCCCAGCTCCGGCCTCTCGACAACCTGTTTGGACTCTCCTCCGGCCCAGCTCCCGCTCCGGGGCCTTTGTAGGCCCCAAACGTCCTGAAGCCGGGCCCCACGGTGGCCTCTCCGGGCCCGGCTCCTGCCCTCCCCCGGCGTCTCCATGCCCCAGACTTCGCTACGTATTGCTCTTGGTCTGCTGCCTTTCTTTGGCCTCCCTAAAGTGTTGGGATTACAGATGGAGCCCCTATGCCTACTCAATCAAGGATCTTTATAAGAGAAGGAGGAGGTAGAAGAGCTGAATTAGAGAAGGAGATGTGGTGATGGAAGAAGAGGTCGAGAGGGAGA